AAAATAATACATTGATACACTTAAGACAAATTTTAGCTTTATTGGAAGGAAAACATAAAGTAAGCTTTCTTAGAGGTCATCACCCTCAAACAAATAAATAAACACAAAACAAAAACCAGCAAAGCCAACTAGGAGAGTGGTGAAAAATTTCCAAGAGCGTTATACGGTAAACAAAGAGTTAACAGGATCACTAACGTGGCAGGAAGATTTTCAGTTAGACAAACTGACTATAAAATAGCCAGCGGAAGCTTGTTTCGGTCTCTTTTTTTTGTATTTTTCGAGTACGGCAAGTGGTGCATTTCGGATCATTATAAACCGATAAAAGAAAATTTTAAGACAGTTTATTAAAAGTGAATAAAGACTAAAAATTATTTAAAATTTTTATTATAAAAATTTATTAAAAACGAATAAAGATTAAAAACTATTTAAAATTTGTTGTGTTCTAAAAATTTATTAAAAGTGCGTAAAGACACAAAGATTTAACAAAAATTCGTTTTTATTCTAAAAATTTATTAAAAGTGCGTAAAGACACAAAGAGTTAACAAAAATTCGTTTTATTCTAAAAATTTATTAAAAGTGCTTAAAACACAAAGATTTAACAAAAATTCATTTTATTCTAAAAATTTATTAAAAGCGCGTAAAGACACAAAGATTTAACAAAAATTCGTTTTTATTCTAAAAATTTATTAAAAGTGCATAAAAACACAAAGATTTAACGAGAATTTGCTTTTACAAATTAACTAAAATTTTTAATAAAACCTATCAGAAGTGGTTAAAGTCGAGAAATAGCCAAATATATAACAAAAATTGTTTAAAATTAGTAAAAATTGGAATTTAAAAGAAATTACAGCCAATAAGTACAATTAATTTAATCATCAGGCGAGAAAAGGCTACGCGAAGATTTGAAATTCCACCGCATAAATTAAGAAAAAAAAAAGAAAAAAAATCATCATATCCAACCTCTAACGGACATAAAAGGAAATAACGGAAACTGAGAACGGTAACGGCAGCAGGATCCACCGTTAGGATACAACGGTGGCCAGGTATTCCAGCTCTTAAGGACACAGCTTGAATATAGAAACAAAAAGAACTTTAAAGCATCGAATTGCATAATTTTCAATTTTTTTTATTATTAAATTTATTTTTTTTTGTCTATTATCAATTTTATATTAAATCATTATATTTTTTTTTTGTGTTGCTCTTTGATCATTTAAAAGAATAGATAGTTAATGCCAAACTGATTTGAGTGACTTGATTATTACAATAATTTTTTTTTGCGTCACTCCCAGGAATTATACATATTGTATACATATTGAATTATACATATTGTACCAAAGTGATAGAAATATCAGAACAGAAAAGAAAAAAAAGAAAAGAAAAAGAAAATCCTTTATAATCACCAATATATATGTTTATTTCTTTACTTATTTGTTTGTAGTTTGTAATTTATAGCTAGATCAGCGGTGGCTGGAGTGACGTCATTTCTGCGGCTGTAAGGTAAGCTATGTGAGCAAATAGCAAATTTAAATGCGGTAGCTAAGTTTCACTGCTAAATATTAAATGTTTTTTTATAATTGACTTTTTTTTTTTTGGTGGTTTTTTTATTTTTGTTATTAGTGCTACAATTTTTTTTTTTTGGTTTTTTTTCTCTTAAAATCTGTAGTCTCACTGATATTGTTCCTACGTTGATTAAATAATAATATTCCGGAGTAATCACTGGACTTGTTTTGGTTTTAATTTTATTCAATTTTTTTTTTTCTTTCTGTTCTATTCAATTGTTTGCCCTTTGGTTAGGGAGTTTTTTTTTATATATATTGTTTTTTTTTTTGAAAAGAAATGAATGAAACCGTATAATCACGGTATGTTTAGTATATGATTATTAATAGAAACATGTATATAAATTAAAGATATTTTTGAAGAATGTAAATATATATATACGCAGAAATATTGTGTAAAATTGTTAATACTAGTTAGAATTCATAAATATTGATAAAAGAAAAAGAAAATATGTGTAAATTAAATTCTTTGTGGAATAATATGAATATGAATTTTTTTTTTTTTTTTTTCTCAAAAAAGGGTTGGGAAGTAGTCTCCGCGTCACTGCATCCTCGAGGATTATTGTGACATACCCACTTCAGTTCCATAGACGAGTGGCAGTTAAGAATGCCAGTATGTCCTTTGGAGAGATGTTGCCTACTTCCGTTATAAGCGGATAGGCAATGGATAAGTAGCGAAGTCTGAGTCTTGCAAGACTATCACAGTGACACAATATGTGTTCTGCTGTTTCCTCTTCTTCGTAACAAAGTCTACAGCTATCGTCTCCAGTGATACCTAGATTCAATAAATGTTTTTTAACTCCGCAGTGTCCAGTTAGAAAACCTGTGACAAGTCGGATGCCACTTCTGTTCAGCATAAGTAGCTCCCTAGTTCTGGCTTTTGATCGAAACGGCATGGATTCTTTTGCTTGTCTGCAGGTAATTGTATTATCCCAATCATTCTGAGCTGCTTTTTCCAACCATTCATTAGTTTTAAGTTTGAAAAAGCTCCACGAAGGACCGCAGAATGGTTGTGGCCCAATATAGTATGAGGCCGCCCCTTTTCTCGCTAGTTCATCTGCTTTTTCGTTTCCCTCAAAACCGCTGTGCCCTGGAATCCATATTAAGTGGACTCTGTTCTTTTCAGCAAGGTCTTTGAGAAGTAGAAGGCATTCCCACACTATTTTTGAGGTTACTCGAGGTGAGCGTAGTGCCAGGAGTGCCGATTTACTGTCAGAAAAGATATATATGTTTTTTCCCGTGACGGGTTTACCTTTATATACCCTGAGACATAATTCAATTGCGTGTACTTCAGCCTGAAAAACTGAGTTTTCTTTACTCATACTCGCAAATATTTCCTCTTTAGGTCTTACTCCATATACTCCCGCCCCCACTCCTTCCATCGTTTTGGAGCCATCCGTGTACCACAGATGGTAGTCTCCAGCGAATGGAGGTATGTTCCGTTCCCATTCATTTCTGTCTGGTATTAGTATTAGGAACTTTTGGTGAAAGTTGAATTTAGGTAAGCAAATGTCAGATATGGTGATATTTAGTCCTTTCTCTCTTTGCATTTCCCTACCTAACAGGGAGTTATCGAGTAGTCTTGTTGATTGATTGCTAGTCAACTGTAGCTTGGCCATAAAAGTCATTGCTTCCTTTTTGACTAGTAGGTGAAGTGGGGGGAGCCCCAATGCAACCTCTAGGGCTGCTGTGGGGGTAGTTCTCATCGCTCCACTTCTCATTATGCAGGCTAATCTCTGCAGCTTACGAAGTTTATCTATTACAATCTTCTGTTGTGCTTTTTTGTACCAGATAGCTGACCCATAAGTTACAATTGGTCTGGCAATAGATGTGTACATCCAAAGGCTGAGTTTTGGATTAAGGCCCCAGTGCTTACCAATGAGGTTTCTGCTGGTCCATAATGCCTCTCTGGCTCTTCGTATAACATTGTCTACATGAAAATTCCACGTCAACTTCTCATCTAGAATCATTCCCAGGTATTTTACTTGGGTAACGGATGATAGCTCTTCTCCATTTAGGAATGGTAATTGGAAAGTACTCTCTTCCTTTTCTTTGTGAAGACTACCAGACTTTTTTCTTAGGATTTACATTTAATCCTACTTCACTGCACCATCTACTAACGATGTTCAGGGCTTGTTGGAGTCGATATGAGATGATGTCTTCATATTTACCCCTGACAAGTATGACTATATCGTCAGCATAGCCTTGTGCCTCGAAATGTTTGGCACTGAGTCGATGCAAGAGCTCGTCTACTGCAATTGACCACAGGAGTGGGGATAATACACCCCCTTGTGGGCATCCTTTTACAGTATGTGCTTTTATTTCGGCATTGCCGAGAGTGGATTTAACCATTCTATTTCTTAGTACATTGCTTATCCATGTGCGTGTCGTATCATCTACTCCTCTGTCATGGAGGCATCTTTCGATATGTGAGTGATCAGTATTATCAAACGCTCTCTCAATATCAAGAAAGCATCCCACCGCAAATTCTTTGCAATCTACAGACTCCTGTATTTTATTAGTAAGACTGAGTAATGCATGTGTGGTGGATTTATTTTGTTGGTAGGCGTATTGGTTGGCGTGGAGTGGATTTATAAAAAAATACTCTTCCCTTATATGCCTTTCCACTATCTTCTCCATAGTTTTTAAAAGAAATGTAGTCAAACTTATAGGCCTATGGGATTTAGGAAGTTCGCTAGGTTTACCTCCTCCTTTAGGTATGTATTTGACAATTGCTTCCTTCCAATTAGTGGGAATGATTCCCATCGCCAGCCCAGCTCTAAAGATGAATATGAATAATAAATTCATTGTGTAAACATTTTATAAGATCTGTTTAATAATTTTCAAATCATACTATAAGTTGTATAAAACAATTTTTATATTTTTTATTTTTATATTTAGTAAATATAAAAAAAATAAAGAAAAAAAAAAAAATTTACAAGTATATATTGTTTTTGGATTATTTATAATTTTTTTTTATTTTTCTTGATGAGTTCATTATGAGATCTTGAATTTATATAACGGGGTGGTGTTAGTTTGGTGTTTCCATCATTTTTTCTAAGGCAGGGATTCCTTAAAAAAGAGAAAAAAATTTGTAGTCATTTATTTGTTAAAAATGAAACGTTTCACGAACAGCAATCAAGCCCTACCAGATGTGTTACCAGTGTTTCCCACTTTTGAGGAAACCAGTACAATACAGGCTGGCAAGGCTAAAAACGTCGACTGGGATATGGAGGAGGCCACCATAGCTGAAGCAAAAGCCGTAGGGTTGCCCAGAGGTGGAACTTGCGACTTGGGAGTAAGCCTGGCATATACTGA